ACTTTTTCGGTTTTGCAAATTTTCGAAAAATTCTTGGAAATTTAGATAGTGCCACCTCTTTGCAGATCATGTTCTCCTGATACTTTGCCAGTTTTCCGGAATTTCGATTTTCGCGATTTGAAGTTTAAAATTCTCGGAACTCCAATTCTTGGAATTTCAAATAGTGCCACCTCTTTGCCGATCATGTTCTCCTGATACTTTTCCAGTTTTCGAGTCTCGATTTTCGCGATTTGATGCTTGAAATTTCAGATAGTGCGACTTCTTTACTGATTATGTTCTCCCATGTATGTAGGAAATATCTGGACGAAGGGGAGTTGGCTCTGAAGGATGAGGGAAATCTATCACGGTTATCTTGGTGTCAGATATTTAATGTAATAAAAGATTGGATGATATATAGAAGGAATTTAATAATTATCTTAAATTTTTTAACATATTTTCTTCTACATGACTAGATTATAAAAGCAATTAAAAATTTACGGATTTAACAATATTAAATATATGCATCACAAAAATGTTATATAGATATATTGAAATTTCACAATGTAAGTGCGCATTCTTGTCTCTTAGTAAGAGCTTAAATTTATCTTGTTCTTACACATATAAAAAATATTTAAGCCTCTCTGTATACGACGAAATATGAAATAATTTCTATAGTAATACGTAACACATTTTCATAATAATTTGCCTACCGAACATTAAATATGTAACAGATATTTTTATTTTTATTATAAAAAAATCAAGAAAGTCGTTTCGTAGCAGAGTTTCGTAGCAGAATTTAATTTCTTTTTTCCTATACAAATTCCTTCAATTATTATGTAATTTTCTCTTGTAATATATAAAGTATACTTGTTTTGATATTCTTATTTTCAGAGATTCTTCACAAATATTGGAAACAAAAACCGTGAGAAACTGCAACAACTTGTAAAATATATTCTGTAAATAACAAAGCAGAATGCTATCTAAGAAGTATCGTAATAGAAGAAAATGACTAATCTTTATATAAAACACGCGTCATCATAAACATTGAAAAAATATACAAAGAGAATTGTAATTCCTTTTCTCAATCAATTACTTAATGCATAATGCGATATTACGAACAATTGTATAAATATTTAGTCACTTAGTGTATTATAAGCGCTAGATTACGCGCTGACGCAAAGCGAAATTTAGCTGTACATAACTTTATTGTTCTTAAATATCCTGCGTAAAATTTAAAATAATAACGACTTATGAAGCAGGTATATCGTGGAACTTATTATGCGGTTGATACAGAAATTAATTCTAATTAATCTAACTTTAATTCTCACAGTGTCACTCTCTGCGTGAATTCAATTCCAATATTTTTCAGGTTTACAACGTTAATCCTAAAGTGTATACAAATGCACAGCATGACGCTACGCCTAAATATTTTTTCTATCATGAAAAATAATATCGTATGACTTGGAAAAAATTTAGGAAACATTACATATATATGTATATACATATATATTATATATCTATACATATATATGTTTTATACGTATATATGTATATATGTATGTACATATATACATATATATTACAAGTATATATTTTAATCACATGTCTAATTTTGTGCCATAACGCTTTACAATTGACTACTACAGCAGCGATTATAAACTTTATAAATTCTTTACATATCCTCGTCGGAGATTGTAAGTATAGCAAACGCTAGTTATCACTACTATTACGCTCATGTATATCTAATGCCTTGTACATAGTGTCTCGGGCACTGTGAATTTACTGTCGAGCTTAGATTCTTTGGCAACTTTGAAGTTAATTCGATGCCATTTCGCTACGCAATTTCTTAATCTTTACGTTCAACATTTTGGCGACTAAGAATTAAAAAATCTAAAACTTAATCGCTAAAATTCTGCAACATTCCGATCACTTAATGGTAAAATCATTAACGCAGCGAGTCTACATAAATTTTTAATTTGGCCTCTAATTGCAGGTCTGGCATAGAATGCCTGAGACACCCCGTACACAAGGATTCTTTAAACTTGCTTGCTCCAAAAGAATACAAGGCTTTATATATAGATAATTGGTATCAACTTGTCTCTCTACTTTTAAATGCTGTATCATATTTTAGTTACGCGAAACCGTCAATTACACATTTAAAACATCTATATCATCTGAAATTAGAGAAGTTCAAGAATAACTGTATCTTGTATTACACAAAAAACGCGTGTTATAAGAATATATGAATCACATAAGTGTCGTGAACATCCAAAATTTCTTATACTACCATTTGATTGCCATAGAGTAGAGAGAAACTAAATAGTCGGAGATAAAAGCCAATAATTAAATTCTACGTGAATTATGCGAATGAAGATCATGTTTGTTGCACAGTAAAGATAGAAACGGTCTTTCATTCAAAAAAAAAAAAAGAAATTAGATAATGCAGAATCTTCTTATTCGTGAAATATGGTCGAGCTTCCGTTTTATAAAGTTGTCATAATCAAATGTTCTCCTGCAATTGCAAAGTTTCCCCTCAGTCTTCCACTTTCTTATCCTAATAGCATGCATGCAAATGTGCTATTTGTATAACTGCTCTGCCTTTCACTTTCTGTCTCATTCATGTGGTAAATGTCAGTAATGGGGGAGCAGAAGAACATTATTTAACAAAGTTATAATCGAGTTAAAAACGGAAATCACAATACGGAACTCCATAAGAGGAAGAATCGATAGCTGTCGACTTTCTATTAGTAATATTTTATATCTCGATACGTTTCTATTCCATCAAAAAATAACATAAATACTTGTGCGCGAGGATATTATACTTTACGAAATGTGCATTGTCACATGCAATGTATAAGATATAAAAATATGAAAAATTAGATAAGTACAATTGCCATATAATTAATTCATTATTAAATGCAAAATATACGATTCTTGGAATAGAAAATATAAAACGTTGATTAGCTTGATCAAATTAAATTAATTATCTCGTATTGTCAATGCACCAAAGTTTCTGCATTACATATTTCCTTGTAAGTACGACAATAAATCTCTGTGCGATAGCCGGCAAAAGAAAAAAATTCAAGGCGCGTTAAAATTCATATATTACGCTAATGTCATTTGTAAAGTACACGCAGTCTTTGTAAATATAGTGTATCATCAGATCAATTTCAAGTGAATTTAGAAAATATATGTTTACTATATTTGTTTATATGATTTACGTTGTATGATTTACGTTGTATGATATTAAAAGAAAAATCGATGAGCGTAAAGACTAATACAGTGAAGCTAGTGCGAACCTTTGTAGATTATTATTAAAATAGAATGATGATAAATGAGCGTTTTCACTTTATACAGTATTAATGTAAATCACATCAATTCCTACTGAACTACAAAATTGGAATCATATTTTCGCCTATCGTTTAACACCAAGCTATTAGTAACTCATCGATCGCCTTCTAAATTTCGTCGAATATTAACATCAATTGAACGCTTATTTCACTTTAAATATATTGTGGTTTTTAGAAACCAACAAGAGTAAAGGCAACATTTGTTAATTCTTTTTTTTACGAAATTAGATCTATAAGTTTTCATAAAGTCGAGGTAAATATCTTTCGTCTGAGTACTTTCTCACTACAAATCAACTAATCATTCTCAAGATTGAAAACGAGAAACACGCATCGCTAAATTTATACAACTTTACATCAAAATGTAATAAATTTCACGTTCCTTACGTACGACTTTGCTAATGTCTCGTAATAATCTAGTATTGCTTTGCTAAATAGGAAAAATATTCGCGCAACATATCATAGACTTATTACAAAATTAATGATATCAAAATATAATAACAGATTTGTCCGAGAATAATTAAACGTAAGCAAATTTTAATGTGTGTGCCTTCAAAAATATTAGACGTCAAAATTGTCTATATAATTTTAATATACAAATTAACGCGATATCTCACAGTTTATAAAGACTTATCTTCTTTACCCTGAATGCGTAACGACAATAAAAGGCACAGAACCGTATAGAACTGTAACAAGGTGATTATAAGATGGCACAGATTTGTCTATTGTTATTGTAATAAATTAAAACGATACTAATCGTACAAACAGTTAATAAGGATCAATAAAAATCCTCAACTGATTAAATATTACAGCTGTAAAAAGGAAGAGGAAAGGCGACAATCAATTCCACATTTATGAGAAACATATGAATTCGGGATTCCCGCGGAGCGTCTGACATACCGTTTGCGGAATGGCAAACGCTACCGCATCGTTGATTTGAATGTACTGTCATTGGAAATGTAGGATTTAGCTGAGAAACTCGTTGTTTAACTGTATCCTAACTGCACTTTGCGGCATTGGCAAAGCCATTTGATAATACGTGCGTTTCGCTCGACGATACTCGGCGGATCGTTTACCCTTTGGTTACACTCGTCGTTACCCATGCCGATGCTGCAGTTGTTTTGCCACTGGCTACCCTGGTTCGTCTGATTAGTGCCGACCCAGGAGTACAGACCCAACGCCGAATCCACGGAGCTGACGCTGTCGAAGAATACGGGCGACGACGACTTGGAATTAGGTTCCGTTATACGCTGATAGTTATCCGAGTCCAGCCCTAAACGGTCGAAGAAGTTCTCGAGCTGAGTCATCGATCGCGGCGGGCGGGAGGATACTTTGCTGGAACGGCCGTTATCCTGGCGCCAGTAGCGATCGCTGATGTCTGATTTTGATCGTAGGATCGGTCGACCGCGACCTTCCTTCCAACCGTCGGAGAACCTAGAGCCACAATCGAATTGTGAAATCGAAGTATAAAACGCTGTCGTGCTGTTAAGTTTCTTCGATGCGCATTCTGAATCTTCGTTCACAAGCGTCTCAGACGATTGAAAGCGGAGGGCATCTGAATACCTTGAGTTACAGGTCGGGCTGTAGTCCGTTTGACTATTGCTGCTTTCAGAATCCGGACTGTAGTGTCTCACAACGGACGGCGGTGTCCCGCCGACGTAGCTGCCCTTCCTCGATCGGTCCTTCTCGGTAGAATGTTGCGTGGACGCGCCACTGTCTCTGCGTATATGGGCCCAGCAATCCTGCGAGACATCGACGACGATTAAGGTCAAACAGTCTTGTGCTTGGGATATATATATATATCTCGTTGAATAGCTTGGTTCACACCTGTATCCTGGGTGCTGGTTCGCTACGATGAGTGCAGTGCCCAGAGGAACCGCCGGAATCTCTGGCTGTCGCACCGTGGCTCAGCTTGCTGGAACCCGACGACTTTTGCGTTCGTCCGCCCGAGGATAACACGCTGCTCGCATCGCCACCACCGGATCCCAAAGATCGCCTGATATGACGAGAACTGAAAAGATGTGCCAATTAATCATGTTTTCACTCGAAAAGAAGATTGCTGTAAAAATGGACACGGCTAAACTGGACAATTTGTACTTATCAACCGACAATGACTCACCTGCGATAACAGACGGCGTCGCGCTTGAAACTGTGGTCCGAATAGTCCGAACTAGTCTCATAGTCCGGGCAGTTGCTCGTGTTCGTAACTTGGTGATGAGCAGACGGCTTCGCAGGTAATTTCGTGGACGTACGCGGCGAGAGTGACGCCCGGCGACGCGTGCTCGTGTGGAGATCCGGTAACGACTTGTGGCATATTGTGTTTTCCACCGACGGGGAGCTGTTCGACTTCCGACCGGATCTACCGGAAGTGTGCGAGTGCGAGTTGCTTCTGCCGAACTTGAAGCGAACGTCTTGCGGCGCGCAGTGCTGCGAAGCAAACAACGCAACGTGTAACGATACAGCCAACGCAGTGTTCATTGATGAGCGCGTACAGAAATTCCCTTGACAAAAAATACACACGTGTGTGTGTGTGTGTATTTTACACGTATATAATGTGTACGCCGGGATGCGTCGCAGAGATTAAAATAGCGCACGATTATGCAAAAGATGAGTGGCTGACATTACAGCGCCGAGCGAAGATCAATATGTCGCGATTTTCTCCTCACCAGAACACGATCCTCGTCCCGGCAGCCGGGCGAGAGACTTCCGGGGGAGTATCGAAATTTCTCCTCCCGCGTCGGCATCCCGTTGCTCTGCGCCGTACTCTGTGGCGGGCTGTCCGGAAAGAACATGTTCTCCTTGCTATCGGTGTTCAGCAGACGACGCAGCTTTGTTTGCAGCTCGCCCCCGGTACCGCTCGGGGGCCCCGAAATCGTCCGTCTTTGGGGAGCCGGCACCAAACGCGGACTCTTCGGTGGCAGCGCGGGTGGCAGTGTTTGTTGAGGGCTCAGAATCCCGTCTACTGCAAAACAGCAACGAAAATAGATTCCCGCCTGCCGCAACATGAATCCTCGCGTTGGTTTATGCACGAAAGTGCGCAATTGTCACAAAATATAATTAACAATTAATGAAAATAAGAACTACGTCAAAGGCGATTCTTTTGGAATCAGCCAGGAGTTTCTCTCGAACGGAATAGATTTCGCAGATCCTGTTGGTCGGATCGTACGTGCCGGGGACCACCCGCGCGTCTCTCCGCGATGACTTACGTCTGTCCTGCTCGTGACACGAGACCCAGCAGCAGGGCGGCGTCATGGGAGTCGGTTGCAGCTGCGACGGCGACGTCGGCTGCATGGGGCAGGCGGACGAGTTGCCGGTGCATTTCCGCAGCAATCTCGGGGGCGGTGCGCCGGGCGCGCTTAGCTGCGAGACCTGCAAGTGGCCGCTGTTCTTCAGCTCCTGCTTCCGGTCCAGCACGGTCTCGCTCTTCACGTAGAAGGCTTTCGTCTCCTGCAGTAGCTCCACGGCGCTCTTCCGCTTCCCTGTGGCACGCACGTGGCGCAAAAGAGAGAAAAGAAGAGCGATGAAAGACACCACGTGGGCGTAAATAATCCGCTTCCCGGAGACACCCCAGTGCTTTCCGGGCCAGATACCCGCTTTATTTGGTTGAACCCGCGTGTCCCATTGAATTTATCAAAGGCCAGCCCTCTTCTTTAGAATATTAGCTCCCCCACGGGACCTTTGATCTCTGATATTTATTTAGGCTTATCGAGAGTGTCCCGAAAGCGTCGAGTTTCACACAGGTACGCGCGAGAGGTAAACCACTGAGGGCGTTGTGGTGTACAGATTTCGGGCATTACTATACTCTCTAAATGTCAATCAGTGGGTTATCACTGAAAACAGTGAATAGTCGCTGATTTACAGTTGTAAGTATAACACCGCGATTTTCATTGGTATACTTGTAACTGTATATCAATGACTATTCACTGTTTTCAGTGATAATCCACTGATTGATTTTTAGAGAGTAGGCCTTTTTTGGCATTAGTGAGTGTTATTTGGCCCTTGCTAAGGCACTATAACGATAATAAGATAAAGTAACGCCCATTGGGCATTAGTAGGCATTGGTGTACATGATTTTGGTCAGCGGTCTACCTCTCGGGTACGCGCCGTCTCGGCTTTTTTTTTACGAACAGGTATTTCACGGCAATCCACTCTCTAAAGATCAGTGGATTATCACTTAAAACAGTGAATAGTCACTGACTTACAGTTGTAAGTACAACACTGCGATTTTCATTGGTATACTTCATACCTGTAAATCAGCGACTATTCACTGCTTTCAGTAATAATCCGCCGATTGATTTTTATGCGGGGTCTACAATGCGAGTCGTAGTCGTAAGAATACTCGACTGCGATTGGTCAATTCCGTTAGACACATAAAAATTGACCAATCATAGTCGATTATTTTTACGACTACGACTCTGCGACTCGCATTGCAGATCCCGCATTAGAGAGTGAGCATTTTTGGGGCATTAGTGAGCGTTATTTGGCCTTGCTAGGACATTATAACGATAATAAGATAAAGTAATGTCCACTGGGCATTAGCAGGCATTGGTGTACATGATTTTGGTCAGCGGTTTGCCTCTCGGGGTACGCGTCTTCCCGGCTATTTTTTTTTTTTACGAACAGGTATTTCACGGCAATCCACTCTCCAAAGGTCAGTGGATTATCACTGAAGACAGTGAATAGTCACTAATTTCCAGTTATAGGTATACTACTGAAAATCGCAGTGGTATAACTGTAAATCAGTGACTACGCACGGTGGTTTTCGAGGAAAATCCACTGATTGACTTTTAGAGAGCACGCACATCCCGCTTACCCCGAAAGCGACGTTATCGCGCGCGTTCGTACGCGCTTTGATTTATCTACAATGAGAAAATACGCGCGGGACCCGCGAGCAAAGCGCGCGGAAAGATCCGCGATCCGAGCGAGTCGATGCGATACGAAAGTACTTCATTGTTTCGAATAATTATACGAGCGAGCTGCTGTTTAATATTCAATTCGCGGGCGCGGGCGCGCGAAGCGTTTATTAAGAAACGTGATGAAATGCTAATCGCGGAACGCACGGGCGGCTGTTGCATGCGAAATAGAGTCCCGCCGCCAATTAGAGCGGCTCCCGCGTATAATCTTACTTATACTAATTGGCAATTTGGCGATAATCTCGTTCCGCGCGTAAATCCGCAAACCGGATATTCTCGATACACGCGCAGAAGAGAGGGAGGAGGGGGGGGGGAACATCCGCGGCTCGGCGTTAACGCCGATTTATCCCGGTTTAATCAACGAGCCGCGCGCTTTGTTATCAATCGTTTCTCGCGCCGGAGACCGAGCTCGGGGCACGTCCGCTCCTCCGGCACAATCGACGCCGATCGCGTCATCGCTCAGCAACGCGCGGATATCGCGAGCGACAACCGTCTTTTCTGGCCGCGTGCCGAGGGCAGGAGTTAACGACGAGGGCGAGCGACGGGCACATCTGCGCGTTCTCCTTCTGTTTTCGCGTCGCCGACATGATTGACGACATGTGCCGTGCCATGCCATGCCCGCCGTCCTCTCGACACGCACATGTCCTCCCCGCGGAGAAACGCCGGCCGCGGTAAAACCCGGCGCTTCTCCCCGGAGAGGCAACCACCGACCGCGATAATCGCCGGGACACACACCGGCGATGGGACGGGAATAAAAAGAGAGACGAGCCGGTACAGAGGCAAAACGTCAAGGCCGCGTATTGTATCGTAGCATATGGCGAAATCGACGGGGAGGATACGCGAAAACCCCGATGGACTTTCTGCCGGTCTCGCGCTGCTCGTCCCATGCCGCGCCTGACTCTACCTCTTCATTAATGTTGAGCCGCGACTACGACTGAAATAATGAAAAATTCCTTGAATCCAAATTTGTAGGATATAATCCAAATACTGTAGGAGTGCTTCATAAAAAAAGTTTAGCCGAAGTTTGAGGCTGTTTAGGAACCTTGTTACTGAGAAAATTAATAACATTACATGCAGCTTATGGAAAATTATTGCATCTTGCAAAACGATGAAAAGTATATGAAAGTTTTGCAGACAGGACGCGTAAGACTACACAATTTTTAACTTCATAAGGAGAATCGTTTTTTTTTTATTCATTTAAACATGACTAATAATAACGAAGTTAAAAATTGGTACGAACAATTGTGTAGTTTTACTCGGTGCGCTTGCAGAATTTTAATTTGTTTCATCGTTTTTCACCGAGATATAATTTCTCAACCCATTTTACACCGTGACAATATGTAATTTTATTATTTCATTCTCTCAGCGACAAGGTTCCTAAAGCAGCGGCAAATTTCGATAGCATTTTTTATGATAAAGTCTACAGTATTAATTTGGAGTCAAAGAGTTTTTCATCATTTTAGTCGTAACGCTCGATATTCTTAAGTACCGATATAAGTTCAATGAGATTAAAATCAATTAAGAATCAGTCGTAATTCCATTGAATTTATAAGTTCGTCCGCGTAACGCGATTACGTGCAATTACCTGCGTATAATTATGACTCTCATTTATAATTACGAGTAAGAGAACTCACGGCCAAAAATAACGACAGGCAAAATAAGGTGTCGATTTGAACCAAACTTATGTTTAAACTTGTACTATTAGTTTTCTAAAGAAGACACCGCGCTGTCGAGAGGCGTCCACAATTTCGCTCACAATCTCAAGTTCCCTCGTAATATCCTAAACATGATTTTGGTGCAAGTGGACATCTTGTTTCGCTCGTCATTATTTCTGGCCGTGACTCCGCTTTATTTGTCATTACATAAAACGAGCGTGCCTTTATTCTTACAATTCATCTGTAAATTGTCCGTAACGTTACTTGCCCCTTTCTATCCATCTCTCTCTAAACTCGGATACGATCTAGGCGTGAGCGATGACGCAACTTTGATGGTTCTTCTCTTCCTCTTTCACAGAGTTGTTCGCAAATGCAGAGGAAAGTCCCCTATTATGAGACAAGCTCCTAACACGAGATAGCAGGGTTTCTGCTAAATTAATAGGCATCGTCCGTTGGTTCTGTTATGAATTGCCCTTGGAGTGAAATGGGTTCAGTGGGAAATTCATTGTTGGATCGTGTAAACGTTGCGAGAAAAGATTTTCGATTGAATTGGGACGCCGCGGGCCCGCTGTCTCATATTAGAGGTCTATCTCACAGGGGGACTTAATTTTATTACAGATGTAAAGCTCGGGCCAGTATCCGTCGCGGGCGTTTCTTTCCGCGTTGAACGGAGTCCGCGGCAATTAGAGGAAATTAATGTCGATCGAGAGGATCGTAGGTCACTACTCGCGCGAGTATATTGGCGACGTGCTATCGCAACATCGAACTCGCTGGGATCGAGCCGCGCGGCCAGCGCGCTCGCTATAAATCGTCGAAACGAGGCTATCGGAGACTATCGGCCGTCCGTCCTTAATCGGACGTGACACGATCGCGCACAATGGAACGTTAATGACGAGGATAATCCGAATTGTCGCGAAGCCGAAAAATGGAACGGGGGGATAATTTCTCTCGTCGGGACGCAGCTCGCGAATATATAATATAACCCGCGACTGCCGGCGTATATTTAGCGAGGCGTGTCGTTTGACGTCGGCGATGAAATAAAATGTTAAAACTGGAACGGAAGCGAGGACGGGCAAGCGGATCCTACGTCGAACAAAACTCGATTCCGTGCCTTAATTCGCGAGCGGCCGCGCGATAGCTCAAACCCGACCGGCGTTACGCTCTCGCCGGCTCGGTAAGCTCCGCTGACTCGCCGGTTCGGAATTTCTCAGCACGTGACGGAAATTTGTCTCGCATCTGGCGAGAGACCTCGAGCGAGATTTGAAAAACACGCGTGTGGAGATTACTCTTTTTTTTCCCCCCCCGTCTGCCTCTCGAGGGATAAGTGCGCGCGTCAGTAGCGTCAAGGCTCGACGCATCGATTCGAGATGCGATTCGCAATGCGTCCGCACGGGCTCTCACCTGTATAGTCGATGTGTCGATGATGATTTCTGACGTACGGCGGCGCGGGATGCCTGGCCTGCTGCATGTCCCAGTACGGGTTCCGGCTGTTACCGAAATTGTTCACTCGCGTCTGCTGCGAGGGCGAGGACGATTGCTTGCAGGGCAGCCGGGCCATGGCAGTCGTCATCTTCTTCACGGGATCTAAGCTGATTGCCTGGTGAACGTCCCGCTCGGCCTGTCGCGCCGTCGTCTCAGCCCCATTTCCGAGCTATTGTCTCCTCACTGAAAGAAGATGGAAATAAAAGTGACGATTGTAAGTCAAACGCGGGATATTAATAAACAGGCGCCTCGATCGATGCTATTGTTCTCCGCGAGATCCCGCGCGGCGGGAGAGACACTCCGCGAGACGGATCTCGTTACGGAGCTAATGAATTTAATTTATTCCCAGTTATGCCATTATCGGGGGGGGGGGGGGCGTAAATTCGTCGTAGCGCAATTCGACGGTTTTAATATAAAGACCATTGTTCCGCGGGAGAATTGAGAAATAAACGCCGCGTGTGGAATCAAGCGCGCGGGGCTGGCTGGAGCGTCGAGTGGGAAAGTGCCAGTTCACGCGGCCGGTTTAATATTTATCGGGCTGATTGCATTGAATGCTATCGCCCGGCCAGGTGCCTTTCATTACCATAACACCGACTGTAAACGCCGGGGCTACCCTGCTTGCCTTACAAAAGGATGAGACGCGCGCGCGCGTGCGACATCGGACCACCTGTGCTCCTCTCTTCGCCGGAGAGAGAGAGAGAGATCCTCTCCTATCTGGAGACCCTGTAATCGGAGACTGGCCGTAAGAGTTCGTCAAATTCCCGCGAGTGAGAGAGAAACATAGGCTATCTCACACTCTTCTAGAACCGTAGAATCTCTCACTCGCGGGAATTTGACGAACTCTTATGGCCAGTCTCCGATTACAGGGTCTCTACTCCTATCAATAGCCGCGCGCCAATTTAGATCGCGACGAAAGGGCGCGACAGCTCGTGGATCTCGTAACAGCGCCGCCTAAATTGGTCGCGTGAAGGTCGGCGAGGGTTTCTCGCCCGGCGCTAAGGGCTGAGGTGAACGTATAAAAATAGCGCGGTCGTGGGACGGAGTTTGTCGAGCTGATCCGCAAGAACCTAAGTCGCAATAACGTAAAATTGTTAGAGTCTTCTTTTAATTAAGTTTAGTCCTTGGACCGAACTCGTATTATTCCGATAGAAAGTTATTTTAAGGTTTCTTCCTTTATTACGCGAGACAGCCGTGAGAATAACATCGCGTTAGTATACCAGGGGTTCGCTGCTTCCCGGCTTTTAGTAAAGTAATCCCCGATGTGGAGTCCCGGAGACTCGCAATTTCCTACGCAGAATCTTTATTTGAGAACGAGGAAAATTTGATTCCGCACATAATTACAGCGCGAAGAGGCAGGTGTGCGAAGAGAGAGAGAGATTACTTCTATTTCCCTCTTTCTCGTCATAAAAGTAAGAATCTCTAGAATTCCGCATCCGTTAGTGTGTAATAGAAGTAATATATATTCACAGTTAAGGAGTTAAGGCCCTCATAAACCATCCATTTATATCCATCGGTCGCCGTACAATGCGTTCGAGCTAGGCGACGGGCTCAACAAATTTCACTCGTAAGCCGATTTAGATAATTTGCACCGTGAAAAGAGTCCTCCGTCGTCCGATTCATTAATTCCAACTTTAACTAATTAGGTAGCAATTTGCCGAGTTGAAACGTAACTGGGATAGAATTTCTAAATTTTACAAAGGGTCAGTAGGGCTCCGCTCTCTAAAAGTCAAGTGGATTATCACTGAAAACAGTGAATATTCGCTGATTAATGCAGCGCTACGCTTAAAACTGTTTTCAGTGATAATGCACTGATTAACTTTTAGAGAGCGTACGAGGGGTAAACCGCTGACCAAAATCATGTACACCAACGCCTAACTAATGCCCAGTGGGCATTACTTTATCTTATTTTATCTTATTATTTCATCAGTTCAACTCGAGCGTGCTCACTTAAGTTAAAATAATTTTCCTGCGTTGACAACGACTTGTGCTCAGCAAAAGTTACTCAGTGGATTATCACTGGAAACAATGAATAGTCACTGATTTCCAGTTATAAGTATACCACTGAAAATCGCAGTGGTACACTTATAACCGTAAATCGGCGACTGTTCACCGTTTTCAGTGAAAATCCACTGACTATTAGAGAGTGAGTCTGCTATAATTTACGCACGAGTTCTGTTACTTAATAAGGACCCGATACTTGGGTCGAAACGCCGTACGGATGTAACATTTAATTAACGATATCGCCAGTTGGATCAACAAGAAGTTTTAGTTCAATTCTCATTTTATCTCGTTTTATCTGACGTTATCTTTATAATACCCCAGCGAGAGACCTAACGCCCAAACTAATGCCCCAAAAGATGCCCGGTGATGGCCGCAATGCCCTCTCAGCGGTTTTGCCCCTCGGTTCCGTATTACAAAGGCGCTTTCCGCGAAATGAGAATTTTCGCCCAGTCTGGCCCGGTAACTTCGGCACGCCGAGTCGACCAAGGGTATCCGGTGCTTCGCGGAATTCGCGCGGCCCACGTGGTCCGAGATGGCCAGCTCGATGGGCTGGCGAACGGTATACCTCCCGTCGAAACAGCGAAATCGTTCTCGACTTGACCGAGCAAAAAGCTCGGAGCCGAGTCCTTCTTCTGCGCGAGAGAAGCGGACGCATACCCGACGCACGGGTCGTCTCCCCCCCTCCCCCTCCCCCTGCGTATGTCCGTGCACGCACGTGTGGCACGTAAAGGCGACCGATAATATCGCGACGAAGCGTGTGTCCGTCGTCGCCGACGATGCGCACGACGAACGGTATCCGTCCGTGTTCCCGCGGCGCGCGCGTATGTGCGTAAAACGCGCGCGTATGCGTGGAGATGTCCCAGCCTGGACAACCGCCGGGACACGCATCGCCGGTCGCCCTCGCGCGTGTAAGTATTCGCACGCCTGGCACACGCGCACGGGTAAGCCGACACCGGCCGGCACCGCCGAAATCGCCGTTTCCCGTCGAATCGGTGGATTAAAGAGGGGAAGAAAAAAAGGGTACGCCGGGCCTTGTTCCCGAAAAATAATAAATCGCGCGCGATACTTCATGAACGTCGGTGGAATGTTAAGTATAATATTCTGGCGACATTCGTGAAATATCGTACGCGATATTTATTCGAGAATAAGGCCCCGGAGCGACCAAGTTACATGTGTCTCTTCGGCTATTAATCCTGCCAGTGTTACGGACGCGTATACAAGATGTTGAAAAAAAAGGGGTGGGATATTCTAAGGGGGATTCAGTATCAGAAACAAAGTCGAGGGCCGGTATAGTCCGCTCGTATTTCAAGATGGTCTTAAGTAATGTTTTAGGACGTTA